TAAACACCACTGTCGATTAATGGGTACATAAAGCAGTTAAGATATGTATATAAAGTTAGAAATGTCTCCAAAATTGTGTTAAAGTCCAGTTTTTGACGTTTTTGGTTAGTAACGGTTATTTTTTTACGCGACTCGGCGATGACGTCACATGAGGTAGACGCAGGCAGCGGCGCGCTTGGTTTAGTTACAGTTCTGATGGTTCACAGCCGAGGAGATCGATGTTCTCGTCAGGGCCGTAAAATAAAGAGAAGTGACATTGGGCCGGGGATGGGACAAACCCACCCAAATTAGCTTCGGTTAAACATGCACATAATAATTTGGGTAAATGTGTACGCTTTATGCCTATTTTTCATATCGTCATGAACACAACAATGATTTCACTCGTGTTTAAATAGTTTTCCTTATAATAATGTATCATTTGCAAAAAGTAAAATGCATCTGTGTAGATGAGAGAATCATCTACAGTGTATGCGCGTTGTTCATTCTGTATTATGGCCAAGCATGCGCGCTTAAAATAGCATCTGAATGTACGCGCTAGACCTAGACTTTAGACTAGGTTAGGGTGACCAACAGTCCTGTTTTCACGTCCTGTCCTGGCTGGGTTTTTTTTTTTTTAATTATGAAAATGTCCTGGTTTTCAAAACTTCTGGGAAAGATCAGCTCTAAAGCAAAAGATAGATGGGCAAACAAGGAGAATGAGGAAGAAAAACAGGATAAAGAGGAAGACTAAAGATACATTTTGTTAGTTTGTTTTTGTAAGCTTGTGAGAGCTATTTTTGTTAAATTTGGAGGTATTTCTTTTAGTTATTTCTTATTTATATATTTATTTTTCTAATACAGAAGAGACATTATTTCATTAATTCAAACCTGTAATAATTATATATTTATTTTTCTAATACAAGAGACATTTCATTCATTCAAACCTTTAATAAAACAGGCTCTGAGAAGGCTATCTGAATTTGTGTCTTGTAATATAACCATTTTCTACAGAGGAGGTATAGGCTACTTTAAATATACTGAAATTAATAAGGCATCATTGAGTAAATTTCGAGTATAATTTGAGTATCTGTTTGCCAGGCCGGGTGTCCTGCTTTCACCTCTATCTCCAGTGAAAATGTTGTTTGCAAACGTAGCTGACGACGAGTAGGCTGGTCATGTCTTCAGTCAGTGTGATTATTGTTGATAGTACTAACTAGTTTTCCTCGTGACTGTCATTGACACCGTCAGGCTTACCGGGAGAGGGAGTGAGTTGTGGGCGGTGTCGTCCCATGGAAACTGTGGTGGAGAGCTTGTGTTGTAGGGAGGTGAGCGCGTTTGTAACGTGCCTAACGCAGCATCCTGGATATGAGGCATAATGCCTGAATCCGTTTGTGCTACACATAGCATACTCTCACTTCATGCAGGATAATGGTCCCCTTCAAGCCAGCACGCACGAGTATGTTCATGGTTTATGTTTACTTTACCTTTTTATTTTTTACACCGAGTCCTTTGAACAACAGCTATAGGTGACAGGAGATGTGTTGCATACACAATAAACATGCATCAGAGACGTTTCCAACCTACTTACAGAGTTTAAAACTTAAGAATCTTTCCTACTTATCCCTAGGCAATACCGGTACACTGCGTACAGGCAGGCTATACGCTGGCCTGGGCTTATGGAGTTTTAGGCAGGAGTATAAGAAGCCTCTCGTGTGGTTTCAACCATCAGACAACAATTCCAAAGTCGTGACCAGACCTATCAGGGCTTTCAATCGCCTCGTTTGGATGAAATGTTGTTTGGATGAAATATTCTGTTGTGATCGCCCAATTTGCCCTCAAAATGTTATAAAGTACACAGAACACATGAATTTCTATAAGAAAAAAAAAACAGTTTATTGGCATTGCTTGTAATGGTTACTAAACATTTACTGAACAAGGACAAAGATTACTGAACAAAGACACAGTTTGCAAGTAAACAAATCTATATAAAAAAAAGCCCACTGATGAAGGGCTAGACCTGAAACGTTTGCACATTGTTTCTTTTGCCTGCAATAGTGTGGTCCAGAGCCATAGAGAGAGAGAGTTGCGACACTCCCATAGACCGCCATAGGAACTTAAAAATGCGCAAGTAACGCGTGTCGTGGAGCAGCCAATAGTTCCAAACACTGATAGTTCCAGCATTGAACCCCATTCATTTTCAGTGCTTCCGAAGTACGCTCGCTGGTAAAATAATGAAATTACTGTATTTTTTTTTTACTTTTACACACATTAGCCGACCTCTCGTGAATCTAGTCAGTATATTTTATGTAGCCAGTTTTAGTTAATGCTTATTGGAAGATAATGGGTTACTTGCAGCTAGCTATAGCTCACATGACCAACTCTTCATTAAAGTTAGCTAACTTCTGGTAACCTGAAGTATATATTATATTATTTATAATATATATGCATAGCATATGCATGTATGTATGTTTGTACGCCTATGCATATATACACACATAACCCTAACCCATTTAAATAAATGAATTGTGTGTGTGTGTGTGTATATATATATATAGTTTATATTTACCGAACATTACTGCAAATTTGTACATGCACACTTATATTTTACGTTGGTTGTAATTCTGAACGGACCGCCTCTCCAGACCTCTTTGCGTGATCACGAAGGTAGGCTAATGGCTGAATCGGAATTTATAAGCAAGATCACGGGAATCAATAGCCTAAGAAAAAAAGTAATGATTTTGTGCAAAGTAAAACCAAAGCAACAGCACACAAAGAAAAAAAAAACATGCAGAATGCAGGAAACCACCACTAAATGAATACTTACAACTAAATCATTGGACTTGTCTGTGGAAAGAAAATAATGTGAAATTAGGTTCTTGTAGCGTGACTGCCGGGCTAGGTAGAGGCTGACGGCCTCCTCAGGAACCTGTTCGAAGGATTTGGCGATGGGGGCGGGTGCATCAGGACAAACTGGCGCTAACCTCTGGAAGAGCTGCAGGTGAATTGGTGTAGCTTTCCCGAAGGGCCTTCATTAATGATGTTGCATAACCTGCAGACATAATAATAATAATACTGTATAAAGATCATTGCCACTAATGGAAACACATGAAATTGTCCTGCATATGAATTATAGCAAACATAAACAGTAAACAGAATGTTACAAGATTGCCAGGGAGATTACAGTACAGTGGACCCTGATTTGCGCTACTAAATGTTTTAAAAAATACATAAAAGAAATTCAGAACATATTTGATGATTTGAATGTTACAATTAAATGTTTACACCAATACTAGTGGTAATACATGTGGTAAAGTTACATAAACTCTTATGAGGTAGTGAATTTACTGAGAGGTAGCTAAACTCTGAAGTGAGAAGTGGATAAACTGTTTCTGACATAATTTCAGCGGTGGGTAAACTGCGTTTAGCCTCCACTACAGCCCTGGCGACACGGTCACGGTCAAATGTGAAAGAGAACCGTAGCAGTCTAACACAAAAAGCAAACACACGATTGCGAAAGCCGCTTGATGATCATCACCACTGATCTAAACACTAGCCATGAAGCTTTCATGACGATAAGGACATTTACTTCAGGGCAATTTTGTTTAGGCTCAAATTCGTGAATCACGAAAAATGCTCTTCTAATGTCAGAGTGATCGTGCTTGTAGTGGAGGCTGTGTCAAAGGGAACACGGTAGCTATACAAAATACACACAGAGCTAGCTAACCCGCAGCTTGTAAACATTAACGTTAGAATGAACTTACCGTGGCAATATCTCGCTTGCGGCAGACGGTGTCTCTCGACCTCGGGACAGGGCAAGCAGAGAGGTTTGCGTTCACAGACGGCACGGCGGTAGGAAGTAACTTAGCCATCCTCTCACTCTTTAAACTAAGTGAGACCATCTTGGCATCCCCTGCGTGGTAAATTAATCCTACTCTTTGAAATGCGCGCTGCATATTCTCGAGTAGGCGGCGACAGAGCTAACTTAGCTGAAAAATCTGCTCGCCTAATCTTGACAAATTGCACCCAGCTTCGGAAGCTCCCTTTGTCCTTGGGGAAACAATGGACCCCATGTCCAGTTTTGATAAAGTTTTTGCACCCGCCACAAACACAGTAATAAACCATTTTGTCTACTTATTATCTAGCTTACTCTTCTCTATCTCTAAGCTGTTATGTGCTATGCTATCTCTCACTATCTATCTATGTTATGCTTATGATATCTATCTATCTATCTATCTATCTATCTATCTATCTATCTATCTATCTATCTATCTATCTATCTAGATATATTTACTTATCTGACACTGTCACTCTTTCACTAGCTACCGTTAGCTAAGTTACTACTCGCGGGCTTTCGTCTGTTGTCCAACAGCGAGTACCTCATGTGACGTCATGCAATGCATTGTGGGAGAAATTAGAATCCTCGCTAGGCTAGTGGTAAATGCTAACACATCACCGACTTTTCCGTATTATATTTCTTTTTTGTAATCCCCTACAACATAAAATACAAAGGATAACTGTTTAAATGTTTATTACCAACTAGAAAACTGGCAAAAAAAAAAAAAAAAAAAAACCTGCACCATGGCCTTTAAACCTTTTTTTTTTTTACAGTCTACGTGTACAATAGTGTCCGCACCACAGGCCCTCACGCTCCTTGTAAAGAAATTAGCAAATGCTGTGTCACGTGGCATTTGTTACTTATCTCAGCGCTGGTCAGGGTGGCACAATCACAAACGTTTGTGTTTATGTTTATGGGTTTTTTATTTAAAAAAAATAAAAAATGCTTAATCATGTTCTTGGAAGTAGTAACGATAGTAATAATAATCAAACGATTTATTTAAGCGGTTGTTGTTCAAATGCCTCCATTTAGACAGTAGGTTGGTTGGGATATGAATGCGTTTCAGTGGGGCATTCCTCTATCTGGGCCTCTGTGCAAAGTGGTACAAAGCTGTTTTTCCTACGCAACAGTTCATTATCTAGCAAAGTGCGCCACCCAGTGATGGAAACTAATATGGACTCTTATTTTGAAATTGACCGGAAATTGTCATGACTGTTGAGTATGAGTTCAGTCTGGAGTGTAGAGGCGTAAAACAAACAAACAGTTCCTTGATTCCGTGTTTATAAAACTATTATCAACCCTGCGGTCGGCCTGAGGTATGTTATTAGGAGAAATCTGTGTTTATGTCTATTTTGCACTGTTTATTTACACACACGGCCTTTTTGTCTAAAATGTTGTCAGATTCGGTCCCAGTCTAATGCACACAATTAACATGATTATCACATTGTCTTATGTAAAACCATATTATATTATAAAAAAAATGTCATTAGTAGAATAATAATCATCATTCAGTACCATATCAAAACACCATAGAATGGGTAAGTTATATTTCTTCTTTATTGAATGTGCCTCAGCTCAGCCGAAGCATGGCAGATCCGGACCGAGTAAAGCCTGAGGACAGAGCCGAGCAGAAGAGCCTGGGGTCCGGGGACGCTTCGGCGAGCGGCGGGGTCTCCAAAGAACCCGCTGCGGGACACAGCAGACCCAAGGAGGAGGGCAAAGCGGTCCGTCCACCTCTCATCCAGAAACACTAGAAATGATATGATAGAAATGTATGTATTCATGTTTTATCTGATTCCTGCTTTAGAGGTCTGAAGACGCTGTTGCTGCTGGTGAAGATGATGAAGAGGGATCTTCTCTTCACCCCTCTCCTGCTAAAAAATTGAAATTGGAGCAAGACAAGAAAAAGGAGAAACGGCAAAAAGTTGATGAAGATGAAATACAAAAGATGCAGTGAGTTTCATTTGTCATTCATTGTACTGCATGCTGATTTACTGTATTAAGGTGCAAAACTTACCTTCCCTAAAAACCTGTCTCTGAAAAAACCTTGCACAGACTGATATGTTTACTCCTCACTTTTGTCCCACAGAGTTTTAGTATCGTCATTCTCTGAAGAACAGCTGAACCGCTATGAGATGTACAGACGCTCGGCTTTCCCAAAGGCAGCAATAAAGAGAGTAAGTGGAGGAGTCGGTGTTTGTCCGTCCGTGTTTTTTTTTTTTTCTGGAATTGGGCTACTTTTAAATTATTGCCGCAGGTTGAAGGTCAGACGTACAATTTCGGCTCTCCAAAACCCCACAAAATCATGTTTTTGACTATTTTTGATTGGCCATAGGGCTAGTTTGTGTTTAGCACACCTGGCATCTATTGGATCAGTCAGGAAATCCTTAAAGGACAAGTTCGGTATTTTACAATTAAAGCCCTGTTTTAAGATCGTTTCTGATTAAATAGAATGGTTAAGATTGTTTTTTAGACAAATGCTGCTGTCCCGAGAATTTTCGGATTCTGTGGTAGCACCCCCACACCTCTACAATGGTAGCATAGGTGCACAGGAACAATCCTTCATTAAACGCATTAAACTTTAGTTTACAAAGACGTGAAACTCACCGAGTGGTCTGGGGTGTTCACTGATATGGTCACACAAAAATCGCTGCAAAAGATGCTTTCCAACAGTTTTTCTTTATTCTTTAAGAAATATGTGCAAGATTTAATTTGGAATTAATCATGGGACCAACTTTAAAACAACCTAATTTGATCAAATGAGAGTCCTTTTCTATCAAAAAAGATTTTTTGTTCATATTTTGAGTCTTATTGCATGATATAGTAAATGTTATCAGAGCCCTGCTTGTACTGAAGTAATGTTATGCTACTGGACAATTAAAGAAACCCATTATTTTATTGTTGTACAGTTAGTATAGGAATTAAACATTTATAATAAGTTAATACACACATTTTCATTAGGATCCTTTAGGTTTGGTTCCAAATGATGATGATAAATTCTAATGGGAATCCTGTAAACATTTATAAGATCTAAGTATACCACAAGGTGTTGGAATTTTATATATATATGAAAACGGTTGAAAGTTGTTGAAAAAGATTGTTCCTGTCTTCCAGCTAGTTCAGTCCATCACAGGATCATCAGTCTCTCAAAATGTGGTCATCGCCATGTCTGGAATTTCAAAGGTGTTTGCTGGGGAGATTGTTGAGGAAGGTTGGTACGACACTGAAGTATGATTTAGCTAGAAACCGTACGCCTCATTGATTGTCTCCATAATGTTTTTTTCTTCTCTTGCACTCCAGCTCTTGACGTGTGTGAGAAGTGGGGAGACACGCCACCTCTGCAACCCAAACACATGAGAGAAGCCGTCAGGAGATTGAAGAGCCGAGAGCAGATTCCCAACACCAAACACAAACACATCCTCTTCCACTGAGCTTGAGTCCCTATACACGGAAAACGGCTCTGTGGATAAGCAGAGGGAATATGGTCATGGCCATATGTCATTTTCCAGATCTCTGAGGTGTCTGGAAGGCACTGTTGTTTTTATCATGAGGTTAACTGTAGACGATGTAGTAATACTTCTTACTTTATTCAGTCTGTCATCTCGAGATAGCAGCTGAATTATAAACAACAACAACAATAAATTCATGTTAATGAAGACTTTTAGGACAGTACATGTCGAACAGTTCTTAGCTGTGACTCAAAAATCTCTAGGTCAGAGAAATGTCTGTGGACTCTCTTTCTTTATTGTTATATTTTGTAATGTTTGTTTTGTTTTGAAAATTGCATATATCGTCCCCTTGGAATTATAAGGTTCTATCTGACATTTTTGTCAAAATTGAGTTATTCACATATTCTTATTCTGTGACAACTTATTTACATTATGTGATGTGTTTTTTTTTTAATTGTGTACATTGTGGGACTTTTTATTGAAAAAACAAAAAGGTTCTAACTTCTATCTACAAAATCGAATTCTAACTTGGCTCTATAAGGTTCTATCTGCGTGAGCCAATCAGCACTTGGAATGCACAGAAGAGGACCAATCAGAATCAACTTTATATGTCATGTCAACTTTTCCTTGAAGACAAAAAGAAACCTCATAAAGGCATAATGCTATACATTTACAGGTTATTATTAATTATCAATGAGGTTATTATTAATAACTTATTATTATAGTTATTATTATCTGAATTATACAAATATGCAGTGAGTAAATTGAATATTTAAAAAAAACATTTAACACGCAAGTGTGTGTGTGTGCGCGAGTGTGTGAAAATGTGCGAGTGTGTGTGTGTGAGTGAGAGAGAGTGTGTGTGTGTGTGTGTGATTAAAAAATTAGTCTGACATTTTTTGTGATCATATAGTCAGTGAATCATTTTTCAATGATTATTAAACTTTATGAATTAATTTGCTGAAGCATGTCGATTTTCTTGTAGTTTTTAAAGTCTTAAAATGTCTTAATTTTTATAATTTTAAGCCTTAAAGGTCAAATAGTTAACAATTTCATTGATGGGGTCTTAATTACAACAATAAACGTTAGCATGTTATTTCAGCCATACTGATGTATAGAGAGAAAGCCATTTCACCTGGCCCACTTTAGCTGGAATAAAGTCCTACTCAGATGTATTACAGTAGCTGCTTTCTGTCTAAACAAAAGAAAGATTAAAGTAACAATTTCTGCAATAATGTATTTAATTACCCACCAAATTGGTAACGGAAATTAAGATTCTGCACTGGACAAAATATTTAGACCTACCTTGCTTAATTTGAAATGTCCTAAATACACGGAAGTGCTAAAAAATATGAAATAAATGTCATAGAAAGGATAAAATATTACTTTCTAACACATGTTGAGACATTGTTACAACATTAATTTTATATTTAATGTTCAAATAATGTTTTGGCAGATAGAACCTTATAAATCTAAGCGAAAAGTGTTTTTTTAGAATTAGAAGGTTCTATCTGCGTTTGACCCATTCCAAAAAAAAAACATTTACAAATTTTAGAGGATTTTGATATTTTATATTTAGAATACATTTAGGGTCCCTGTTATTTTCATGTTTGAAAGAAACTTGTTCCCCATATAAATGTTCCTATATGTAATGCAAAAACTTTGAAGCTCAATATCTCAAAACTGCTCAGAACGCAGATAGAACCTTATAATTCCAAGGCGACGATATGTGCAGTAATTTTATGTGTGGACATTGTTAAAATGTTATCTTTTGACTTGAAGAATGGAATATTAAATATTTTGACGGAATTAATGTAAACCTTTACACTTCTTATTAGTGTAAACCTTTTGTTTGATGAAACATCACAGCCAGCGCAATAGTGGCATGGTGAGCGAGTCATAGAAAGGTTAATAATAACAAATGTTATTATATGTAATAACAAATGTAATCTAGGCTCATACCTTATAATGCCATTTTAGTCTGCATATAAACTAAAAGGTTTCTGAGTTTAGTCAAGTCAAGTCATCTTCATTTATATAGCGCTTTTAACAATGGAGATTGTTTCAAAGCAGCTTTACAGAGATAAACATACAATTTACGGTAACAGAGATTGTTTTGGCTTTATAGCGATTTTTGAATAATGTTATTTCCAGCTAAAGTTTGTTTTGATTGATTCACTTCCAGCAAAATTATCATTTGTTATTACATTAGGGGCCACTAAGACGACGGCGTTCTCTCTAAACAGATTTTAAACGCGAACCTGTGACCGGATGGCGTTCACATGCGCATTAAGAATTGATTCTATAGTTATATTCGTTTGAATATGTGTGCGCAGGTTTGTAATTTCCCTACAACCCATGCCTAAACAAACTACTTGTCTTGCCTATACTACATTAGATTAATGTATAATTGCCTAAACAAATTTTGTTTTATTTTATCACTTCGGGGTACGCGAACCGGATTTTCAACAACGCTTTATCTGTAGAGTGGGAAAGGGATGCTCCATAGGGAGAGGCTAGTTGACACTTCAGCACTGCATTGTCATCGGGTCCAGGCGAATCTCCTTCGTCAGATCTGGATACGGCCTGGATCCGGCAGGCTGCGGGAAAAACCTCGGGATAAACAAAGACACTAAAGTTAGCGTAGATGCCATTCTTCTTATGATGTAACGAGTACATCTGGATTTAAGGGAAGTGTTCCCAGTTCCGGCTGACCTAATCTATGCAGCCTAATATTGAATTATAGAAGTCTATAGTGTGTTATGTGTATGCTAGGTCAAAGAGATGTGTTTTTAGTCTAGCTTTGAACTGACAGAGTGTCTGCTTCCCGGACAATGGTAGGAAGACTGTTCCAAAGTTTTGGTGCTAAATAGGAAAAGGATCTACCGCCAGCAGTCGATTTTGACATTCTAGGTATTATCAACTGGCCGGAGTTTTGAGATCGCAATAGACGTGAAGGACTATAATGCTTTAAAAGCTCGCTCAAGTACTGCGGAGCTAAACCATTTAGTGCTTTGTAAGTAATCAACAATATTTTAAAATGTATACGATGTTTAATAGGCAGTCAATGCAGTGTTGACAGAACCGGGCTAATATGGTACTGGTATTTGGTATAATATTTCCTGGTTCTGGTAAGAACTCGAGCTGCTGCATTTTGGACCAGCTGTAGTCTGTTTATTAAGCGTGCAGGGCAACTACCCAGTAAAGCATTACAATAATCTAGTCTTGATGTCATGAACGCATGAACTAATTGTTCTGCATTTGTTAATGAGAGCATATGGCGTAATTTAGATATATTTTTAAGATGGAATAATGCAGTTTTACAGATACTAGACAGGTGACTTTCAAATGAGAGATTGGTATCAAAGAGCACACCCAGGTTCCTAACTGACGACGAAGACCTAACAGAGCAGCCATCAAGTGTTAGACAGTATTCTAGGTTATTACGTGTGGAATTTTTTTGTCCAATAATTAGAATCTCTGTTTTTTCAGAATTTAGTAGTAGGAAACTACTGGTCATCCAATTTTTTATATCAGCTATGCATTCCGTTAATTTTGTGAATTGGTAAGTTTCGTTAGGTTTTGAAGAAATATACTGAGTATCATCGGCATAACATTGAAAACTAATTCCATGTTCCCTAATGATATCTCCTAATGGTAGCATGTACAGAGTGAACAGTAACGGTCCTAGTACTGAGCCTTGTGGTACGCCCTACTGAACTTGTGATCGATAAGACATCTCTTCATTTACTGCTACAAACTGAGAACGGTCAGATAAGTATGATTTAAACCATGCTAATGCAATTCCACTAATGCCAACATAATTTTCGAGTCTATTTAAAAGAATGTTGTGGTCAATGGTGTCAAATGCAGCACTAAGATCAAGTAGCACTAATAGAGAGATACAACCAAGATCGGATGATAGGAGCAAATCATTTGTGACTCTAATGAGAGCGGTCTCAGTACTATGGTACGGTCTAAATCCGGACTGAAGATCCTCGCAGATATCATTTCTTTCTAGAAAGGAACACAGTTGTGAAGATACTGCTTTTTCTAATATCTTTGACAGAAAAGGCAGATTCGAGATTTGTAAAGACTGTAGACCATTCTACATAAACATAGTGATAGTCTTTTCTTCACTATTGTGACGTATATCAAAATGAAATGGCTTCTTGAACAAGAAAGAATGTAGGAAGAGGAAATACAAAAAAATATATTTTGCAATCCAGACATTTATGAAACTTCCCAAAATACCAAAGTGAACAAATCACATACTGTATGCCAGTTGAAACAGTTTATATTGTTGAAGTTATAGCAGTTTATCTGCAATAAGGTTTACACAAAACATTTCAGTGAGTTTTGAATGGAAATAAAATTGAATGGAATAATATTTAAATGTAACTTTTTGCCCAGATTTACACTCTGGACAAGTCGACGTTAGTTCCTGAAAGTCAGAGCAAATCTGCAAATTTTGAGCAGACAGATTTCAAAGAAAATTGCATAATGTATGTTGGACACTGACTGATGTTTTAGCTTAAGACTATGAATCCATCCAGTTGAAGCATATAAAGCATGTCTGAGATTATGAACCGATATTAGAATGCGTTATTTTCATGTCAAGATATAATCGTCCTATAACGAGTCACATGTTTCTGTGCGAGTTTGTTTTTGGAACAACTTCTGATAGTGTTTGATCCTCATTCAGTTAGAGTGATGCCTGGTTTTTAGCTGTTTTGACCAGCCCGTTCTCATCCTTTGGCGTCATACATGTGACGCTTTGGACATTTCGTTGAAATCTTACGCACATGGCATCCTTTAGCATCAATATGAGACGCAGAACTCAAGGCGTCATACAGGTGACGCTCGTCTAAATCCAACGCACATGGCATCCTTTAGCGTGAATATGAGACGCAGATCCCAAGGCGTCATAACCGTACCCTACCCCAGACCTAAACCTACCCATAGCAGTGCGTGTTATATTGACGCTAAAGGATGCCATGTGCGTAAGATTTCGACGAAATGTCATATGGCGTCACCTATATGACGCCAAAGGATGAGAATGCGTTTCGACACACTCAAGTAGGCAATAATTTTAGAGGACTGTGTCTGTCTGTGAGTGTATGCAGTGTATGTCATGATGTAATGTGATGGCTTTAAAAGTTCTACTTTCACCTGTGGAGGAGTCTGTAAAGATAAAAAAAATAGCTTTTAAAGTTATGTAGGCATGTAATGTGATGAAATCTTGTTGTTGAAAGTGTAATGTATCTCATGTGGCCCAAATCCCTGTTTATATGTGCCAGTTTTACATAAATAAGCAGAGCATAAAAAAATATACACCATAACCAAAATATAAATCTCAAATAAATGTTTTTAAAAATATGTTTTACAATTACATATTTACAATTATATCTAAATGTAATTGTTAAATCTTTTAGCTCTGCGAAATGATTCACTGTTTCAAAGCACTCCAAACCGGTGACATCTGCTAGTGAAAATGGTGTAAAGCCAGGGCATACAGTAACAACCCCAACAATGACACAACTGCAACTGACAGAAGATACACAAAGTTCAACTTTAAGAAACATTTTATTGACCATCATTTGTGACATTTTCGAAGAGTTATGGTTTACAGAACCAACAAAGTATCAGTTTTGTTTTAATGTTTTGTTTCAGGGCTTTAATGGAGATGATATAAAATGTGAAATGATATTAGAGTACTGCAATGAAAAGATCAGAGGTCAAACTAAACATTTTATCCACAGCAGGGCATGAACTAGGATGAACACATGCCATTCAATTAACCAAAAACAAGACGATCAGTTAGAAACAAGATAAACAAGGACAAATCAATTCAACAATTTAAAACCAACAATCTGACATGACACCAATGTCTTGTTCATTTACACATCCATTTTATAATCAGTTTTTTTTGTGTTATATTGTTTTTAAACTTTCTTTAACTGAAACTCTTTTCAACACCCACCCCACTAATCTGCTGTAGGTGGTGATCCCTCTCCTTTCTTTTGATGCTGCTCTCTTGGTGATCAGAAATGTGTAAATAGCTGTAGGTAACGATCATCAGAAAAGCATAATTGCACTTGAATGGTTCGATCCTTACCTCGTGGCAAGAGAACCCTTAAGGTTTCCTGGAGAGGAGAGGTCTCCAAGTCACACCTACCAGTTCAGTGCTTAGTCTCCTGGGCACTATCAGAAACACTCTTTTCTCTGCTTCTGTATTTCATGTCTTCTTTAAATTGTATAGATGTTTTCAATTGGCATAGTAAACTGCAAATATTTTTGGACATTTATGATCAATTTCTTTTCAGGTTCCTCATTTGTAAGTCACTTTGCTGTAAGTCATTACAGCATATGGCTAAATAACTAAATAGAAATGTCCAGTAGGGAAAAGTAAGCATGTCCGGTTGATTATGACAGAAATCAGTTGTTTGGATTGCCATTTGTAGTTGATTGTTTTAGGAAACGATGCTGTAAAAAAATAAGACCGAAAACTTAGAAATTAATAAACATTTTACTGTAAAAAAATAAGACACATTAATATACAATTGTTATGAGAATCATTTACAAAGATGAAAATATTTTTTGTAGGTTATGTTGAAATAATTCTGTTTAATTTAATTGAATATTGACTATTGTGAATGACAGACACTTTACTAGCAATATGAAATTAAACATTTACAATTCATGGAGCAAATCATCACTCACTGTAGTTTCTCCAGTTTACAGTTTGGATCCTTCAGTAAATCGGAAAGCAACTTTACTCCTGAATCACCCAGTTTATTGTTGTTCAGATTAAGCTCTCTCAGGTGTGAGGGGTTTGATCTCAGAGATGAAGCCAATGAAGCACAACCTTCTTCTCCAATACTGCAGTTATACAGCCTGTAGAGAATAAAAAGTACAAACAATCCTTAATGTTTCCTTCAATGTTGTACATATGAAATGTATGTATATTTGAGAGATGTCTATTTTGTGTGTGTGATCTGCCTACAATGATTTATGAGCCCAGTTTTTAAATGAATTTTTAGAACAAAATGTATAGAAAATCAAAAAGCTCACAGGAAAAAGCATACACTGGCTACAACATAATCAATTTTTTATATTTTGTTGGTTCTCTCTTGTTTTTGTATCTGTTCATAATTTCTTATGGCAAAAATTATAACGACACATTTTGGCATGCTTCATTGCATTATCACAAATAAAATACTTGGCTCCAAGCACAACTACGCAATTGTTATGGTTCTGTTCTGTCATGTTGTGTTTTATTTTGAAGTTCTGTTCCATTTCCTTTAGTTCCTTTTTCCCTACTCTGTTTAGTTTCGGTTTCCTTGGATACTGATTATTTTATTGTTTGTTTCTCTTGTTACATATTAGTTTCACCTAGTTTGGTTTCCTTTGTTCCAACCATGTATTTATAACCCCGTTTATTTGTTGTTCTTTGTCAGTTCTCGTTTGATTTAAATGTTGTTTATGTTACTCTCTTGAGTTATCTCCAATGTGTTCAGATAATTAATAGACTGTTTTGTTTTTGAATCTCATTTGTCTTTGTGCCTGTTGACTACACGTTACAGCAATATGCCTATAAAATCTTTAACAAGTTTTTAAAATTAGGAATAAAGGATGAAGATGTTAATTTTCATTGGCGAGACATCATTTTTGGCCACTGCAGTATATATATATATTTTTTTTTACTACAAATATAGTATGATGACCAGCGCAGTACTCACTGCAGTTTCTCCAGTTTACATTTCCATTCCTTCAATAGCTCAGAGAGCACCTTAATTCCTGAATCGTCTAGTTTATTATTGCTCATATCCAGTTCTCTCAGGTGTGAGGGGTTTGATCTCAGAGCTGAAGCCAGAGCAGCACAACCTTCTTCTTGAAATTTGCACAATTTCAGCCTGCAGATGAAAGGAGAGAAAATCAAATACATTTATATGTAAGTGTTAGAATCAGCTGAATGTGTGCTTTGTATGTTATCATTCTAAAGGAAAAAAACAGTCTGTGTATCAAGAGTTGTGAACAACCTGCTTTTCTCCAATGCATGTTAGCTACAATTATTGTCACCCCTATAAATTCTTATGTAAGTATATTCCCATTCATATTTAAGTTTTTTTTAGCACACAAGGGTGACTTGGAGCAGCCATGATGACTTCCTGTTCAGCAAGAGTATAAATATAAAGAAACACAAAGGCCAAATTCCTTTAATCATTCTTCACAATGAGTAAAACCAAAGAATATGGTTCTGATGTGCAGCAAAAGATTGTTGAGCTTTACAAAATAGAAAGTGGCTATAAGAAAATAGATACAGCATTGAAAATCCCCATTTCTGCCATCAGGGCGATAATTAAGAATAAATAAACTAAAGATGTTACAAATCTGCCTGGAAGAGGACATGTATCTACATCAGGGGTCTCCAACCCTGCTCCTGGAGAGCTGCTGTCCTGCAGATTTTAGCTCCAACCCTGTTGGAGATCCCTGGTCTATATTGTCCTAATGCACAGTGAAGAGAGTTTGAGTTGACCACAAGTTAGGGAGGGGTTTGAAGAAAAATCCTCCTCACTCATCCAAAAACAAACTCTAGAATATTCAGTTGTCAGACACGACTGGAATTCAAAAGGGACCTTGTTCTATGGTCAGATGAAACTGAAAAAGGGGGCTTTTTGGCAGTAAGCCCAGATAAAAAGTACCCCATGCCCACTGTTATACTGCCCTATATAAATATACTGCTGCATCTTTAATGTTGTGGGCCTATTTTTTATGCTGGATGTCCTAACCATCTTCTTCAGATACATGGTATCATGAATTCTAGCAAATACCAAGAGATAAAAAATCAAGACCTGACAGCTTCTGCTAGAAATCTTATAATGGGCAGTTGTTGGATCTTCCATCAGGACAATGATCCAAAACAAACATCAAAATCAACACAAAAATGTGTCACTCAGCAAAAAATCCTATAGAAAATTAGTGGGGTGAACTGAAGAGAAGAAGCACCAACATGGACTTGGGAATCTGAAGGATCTGAAGAGATTTTGTATGAGGGAATGGTCTCTGATCTCTTGTCAGGTGTTCTCCAAACTCACCAGGCATTGTAGAAGAAGACTCAGAGCTATTATCTTGGTAAAAGGACATTGCAATAATTGGATGCCAATAATTGTGGCCAACGTGAACTAGAGAAAAACATTTATTTCATAATGAGATCCACAATGAATGATGATATAAGCAGGGTCTATGACAGGAACTAAAGGTCGACATTGAGCTTCTCTAATATGAATTTCCTTTGGAAACTGGATAGAGATGAGTCATGCATCAAGAGAGCTAAATAGCCAGCATATCAAAATGGGCTATAAAGAAGATTTCATCTCAAGTCATCTGGTCAATATAACCATACATTTGTTAGACATAGGGAAACAGATGCAGGTTTTTGAACACTCAGATTGGGACCTGGATCCGACCAATTTTTAGAGGGCAATTAGGGCTGGATCAAATACTTGGCCTATACTGCATACCAGATCAGCTCATTCTGTTTAACTCCTTAAAACACTGGGTACTGACAGAAGATGGGAAGTAGAATAGACCTTAGCTTGAAGGAGCTAAACAGACTGATGAGTGTGAACGCCCTGATAGAAAGGACAAAAAACTGACAAATTTTCTCATTTCAAAAAAAGCATGGTTTGTTAAAAAAGCTTTGTCTATTGCTCATTTCTTCGCTTAGAATATTTATACTTGGCTGAGCCTTAACAGATGCACAATATGGGGTGTCAAAGGACCTTGGATCACACCAAAGGTGTATTGTGCTTTCAAAAAACAGATGAACACTGTATGCGCAGAAGTTCCATGAGATATTTCAGAAGGATCTGCTGCTCTTTAGTAAGCAAAAATACAATAGCCATCTTAGCTCGAAGGAGTATGTTAACAACCTAGTAACCTTTGTTCCAGCCTAACATAATGTTCTGACACAATGTTTTTTGATTGCCAAAATGTGTTTTGATTGAACCCCAGGAGCACAGGATGGTTAAATAACCAAACAACCAAAAATAGATAGCATGCATATGGAGGAAACTGTATTTTAAAAAATGTTTGAAAGGAGTCTGTACATTAAATAGTTCATACTGAATTCCAGAAAACCAGAACAACAAGATCATTTCACTTTGACGCTGCCTTTCAATAACTACACTGACACTCACTGTAGTTTCTCCAATTTACAGTGATTATCCTGTAGTAGATCAGAAAACAGCTTTACCCCTGTGTCTCCTATTTCATTTCCATTGAGATTGAGTTCTCTCAGATGTGAGGGGTTTGATCTCAAACCTGAAACTAGAGCTTTAAAACACTCCTCAGTAATAAAGCAGTCAGACAGCCTATAGAGAAAAAGAGAAAGTCACATCTTTCAGTTCAGCACATGCATTCAGCAAAAAAAAACGTTATGTGTATTACAATTATTTTTAGAGAAACTGATTATAAGTTAAACACATAATTGACTCAAAAATGACAATACTGTGAACATCCACTAATAATGTAAGGAACAGCCAGGTTGGTGAAGTCAGAGGCCGTCACATTTGTCAGACAGGCTGCTTCCAGTGTCTTGAGATCTTGCAATGAATATTGCTCAACTAATGGGGCACGAATTAGATTGGCCACTCAGAAAATGCTTGTCGAGCTAGGAGGACTGAGAATCCTGAGGCTCGTCGTCATGCTGAGCTTCCTGGCTGCGTGCCCAAAATCTTCCGAATCTGAAGCATAAATAGCCTCACGTGCATGTGACAGGCCGAGGTATTTCACACACTTACCGTGCGGGTCATCACTTGCAATGAAGCGAGAGCACAGTGGCTGGCAATGACGCAGATCCTTTGTGCTTCACCGAGAGGAGAACGAAGCAAGTTCCACTACATGCGGTCGCTGAAGCACAAAAAAGAGAATATCCAACAAAAAATCGCTTAACTAGCACGGGCCAGATAAACCGCTTCCTCTGAGGAGGAAAATCTGAGGGGCAGATGGAGCGTTCCCTCATCCTTCCCTCGGGTCCTTTTGACTCGAAAATCATTTTGTAAAAATGTTTACAGTAAAAATGCAGTGTTCAACAGAGAGGTCCAAGACCCTAAGACTTTTGTCGCACTTGAACCACGAATACACACACAAAAAAATTAATAGATTCGAGGAGCTTTATGGTTGAAATTTAAAAAAGTAACAAATCCTTTCCTCGCGGGTCAAATTGACCCCCATATGAATTAATGGAATGCGAGGAATGCTTCAGTACACAAAGACAAACCTAAAAATGTTCAAAATTCGAACTAAAAATGCTAAAACTTTACCAAAAAATTATTTTAGAATGTCTACATCTGTATTTAAATGCATTCTGAAGAGAAATTACTTTAGGACCCCGCAGAACACCTCATTTGCTCCAAATAGAGCTATAAGGCCATTTAGTGGCAAGAGTCATGAAATATCATTTTATATATATTTTTCCACAAGAGGTAGGCAAAGACACCCAATGTAAGATATTTGGAGCTAAATTAAAAGGTTTATGCATGAAATTGTGAGTTATTTTGAATTTAAGTTGAAAAAATATGAGGAATGTGCGTAAATTACTATTTATTTATTATTTATTGATCAAACTTAGTAATTTAAAGGTAAATAAAATAACAAATAACAAAAAAACTCCAAAGAAATAGCATTAAAAAAATGTGAAAAAATATGATCAAAATAAAATAAGCTTTCTGGACAAAAAAAGTATCATTTTAGGGCTTTGGTTCATTTTGACCCGCGAGGGAAAGATATGTTACAAAAACACGAGGGAAGGATGAGGGTTAAGAGTGAGTGATGTAGCGTCTGTCAAGAGGCGCCTGTGCCATCAGCCAATGATTATGAAATATCAATTCAATATAAAGTAATTTAATGCTTAGTGGTTTGACTTAAATTATTTTTTAAATGTATACATGCCCAGAAGTACTACAAATTTCACAAGGTAAACATTTGTTGAAAGTAAATTAGTGAAAGTAAAATATATGTTTCATATAATATATTCAGGTATTTTTACATTATTTTTATTTTACTTCTATTCAGTTTCCTTTTTCCATTGTTGGTTGGATCCCAAATGGCACACTTCATGTGGACTCGTGGCCTCGTGGCCTTAAATTGTGAGTGCTCGCAAAGTGTACGAGTCCGTAGGGTGTCCCATTCGGTATTCCAGCGCTTAGAAGTGTGCTTGCGAGCGCCGCCTTTGTGGCCCCGATGCGGACTTCATGAAGCCCGCACTTTCGCACCCTCCACACGAGTTACCTATCCAGGAATCATTGTGAACGCCTAATCAGATAAATTAGGGGAGGAGTTTCGTGGCTGTTTAACTTTCGATGGCATGATGTCATCAAGCCTGTCCCAAAATACACTCTCGCGTGCCTTCGAGGACTCGAGACCAGCACCCCTTAGGTCTGCACTTCCTGACGTCACCAAGTGTGAACTGTGAACTCGAAGGAGGTCCACAAAGCCAGAGTGTGCCATTTGGGATCCAGCCGTTCTAGCCAGTCTTTAGTTGTCATAGTAACTAATTTGATTTGTCATTCTGTTCAGGTGTGTGCACCATGTTATCGTTTGTATATAAGTTTGTGTGTTTTCCCTTTAGTTTGTATGGTCTTGTTAATGTGACGTTATGTTTGCTTGCCTGCCTTTTGCTGAAGATACCTTTGGATATTATTAAAAATAGTTTGAACCTGGTTCTTCATCTTTGTGTGCTTTCCAACAATGTATTATGACACACATTCTGTTATTGTTTCAGTTTCATTTTCATTGACCTTTATATTTTATCCATAAAAAATGGGTTAAAATTAAGCATTTTTCAAAGACAAATCCTGTACTGCAGTGGTCTATGTGATCTTTTTGGTTAAATTCTGAGCAAATAAAAAACAACTGGAATTCCTCCCATATGTCTGTATTATAAAAAGGTATTATAAATACATCATATTAACCGTTTTACAATATGGTAAAATAGTGGAACTCACTGTAGTTTCTCCAGTTTACAGTGTGTGTCCTTCACTAGACCAGAGAGTAGCTTCACCCCTGACACTCCTGGTTTATTATAGTTCAGATTCAGTTCTCTCAGGTGTGAGGGGTTTGATCTCAAAGCTGTAGCCAAAGCAGCACAACCTTCTTCTCCAATACTGCAGTTACACAACCTGTAGAGAATATACAGACAGAAGCATTCTTATTCTGCTCTTACTGCACTGTAATATAAATATACTTTTCCATTGGCAGAATGTGTTTATGTATTGTTTGATGTTGTTGTTCAACTATTCTATCAATAGGTTTGTATAACCAGAGAAAAATATAGGAAATTAGACAAGAGATAGCTTATAAGGATTATTATTATTTAAATAAATATCCAGCCCATTGGTTCTCAAGGATAACATCTGTCTAATGATAGCATGATAATTTCAAATCAAAACTATAATAACTACTAAGACTCACTGCAGTTTCTCCAGTTTACAGCGTGGATCACTCAGTAGATAAGAGAGCAGTTCCACTGCTGAGTGTCCTGGTTTATTATGGCTCAGATTCAGTTCTCTCAGGTTTGAAGGGTTTGATCTCAGAGATGATGCCAGAGCAGTACAAGCTTCCTCTTCAATACTGCAGTTACAAAGCCTGTAGAGAGAAAAAGAATCCTCAAATTTACAGCTCAATACAATTGAAATTCCAACAGGTGAAATGAAGCCTTGAGATGTAAGTGTCTGACTAATCTATTCAGTGAGGCTATTGTTTTAGATACAGAGGGGTACAAACATATTAGAAAACATTAAATCTGTGATTTAAAGTAGGGATTCACCAAAATAAAAATTCTGAGTAGAAACCGAAAATTCTGTATTCACTTGAATGAAAACTGAAAATGCAACAAAAAAAATGACTTTTTAAAATAGTACAAATATTTATTTAAAATTCTTAAAGCAGACTTTGCTTTTCCAGTGAGTGTGAACGTTACATGAGTGGAGCATTCACTTGGGCTGTGAGCAACTGAGCAGTGAGAGCACACACAGAGAAGAACACTGAGCAAAGTGGGTGCCGGTACAGACTTACCTGCTCAGCCAGATTCGCTTTGAAGTCGTGTATCTTCAAAAGCAGAACCGCTCGCAAAGTTACAAAAAATGCTGCGCGAGAGTAAACCTGTGTTAAAGTATTAAACACTCAGGGGTTTGGGCGGCATGTATATTTTCATTACATATTTTCTGCCTTTTTTCGCTTTTGGACAAAAACAGAAAATGCCATTTCCGGCGGCTGAAATTTTGGTGCATCCATAATTTAACACTCTGGGGTCTGAGGGGGTTTTGGGGCCCTGGAAAAGTTTTGACATGCCCTGACATTTGTGCTTTTTTTAGTTGCTTATAAACATATTAATGGCTAAAGTCTCATTACACTGTATTGAGAACAAACTGGGGTACACTCATATGTGATATGTTGTAACGACTAGACAGATTAAACAAACCATTGTTCCAGTCAATCTTCACAACCCCACACCCAGGCAGACTCTGTGATGTCTGGTTGCCCCACTGAGAATTACCACAAATTTGCTTATCTTATACACTTTAAAAAGGCACTGCGTTGGGAGACAGTGCCTGAACAGAAAAGTACAACAAAAGGCTACAACAAACAGACATGTAGTCCCACAGAAATGGAATTATTTCCACTAATTCAGTGACAAATCTGTCTAATAAATAATAAACATGTATTTCCCCAGTACATTTTGTGTATTATTACTGTTTGTATATAGTCTTTTTATATTGTATAGTGTTATGCATGCCTGATGACATAACTACTAGTTAATGTAGCCCAAACTAAGGGGGTCTCTCCTATTTCGGTGGACATCAACTTCTAATAGAATGTAGCAGGGCTCCAGACTAACTTTTCCACTGGTTGCACTGGTGCTACCAACTTTCTCAGTTGGTCGCACCAGCATATGATTTGGTCGCACCTTTTTTTTTTTTTTTTGCTACATGCCATGGGATTAATCAATGCATGCTGATGAATAGTGGTTTTAATGGACCAAGGCTAGCAAAGGCTTTCTGAGTTGCAGCAGAAATACCTGTAATATATTAATTATCATTGCCAGGATTTCATTTCAGGATTTTCATGGATTTTGGACAGTAATAATTTTAATCTGTAATTTTAAGCATTTTACATTTGAATTATACAATCTATCTATTTACATTTGAATCATATTCTATCTATCTATCTATCTATCTATCTATCTATCTATCTATCTATCTATCTATCTATTATCATCTTTCTATCTTTTAAAAATCATTAAACATTCAAATGTATGCATTACATTTTAAAAGATTAGAGTATTATAATAAACTGATACAGATTTTTAGTTATCAAAGTTTATAGTTGTAACAAAAAGCAGAAATCTCACACTCCTTACCTTCTGCATTTTATAATAATTTCCTTTTCCTCTGTCGAGCGATCATGAGAGTAATCGCTCGACAGAGGAAAATATAACCGCTAAAAAGACGTAGGAGTAAGGGGCTCTGTGTATATGCATTAATTCGTGAATTCGTAATTGGCGCGTTTCACCATCAGTGTGCAATGCGCGTGATGTCTACGTTCGTCAATAAATAAACTGCACGTGTCTTGCGGCAGAACATTGTAGACGGAACTTCTCTCCGTTAATGTCTATGGCGAGTCACGCAGGCACTGGGCTACTCCGCAGCCGAGACGACCCCGGGATAAAATAGTCCGAATATAAACACTTATTATAGGCGTACCGTAGTGATTCAGAATAAGTCAAAAACACAGTTTGGAAAATGGATTCATGATGTAGCCTACTCGTTCATTTTGAACATAAGTTATAGGGATGGGACGAAATATCGTTTGACAAAATATTGCGATACAAAACGTGATGAAACGCATCGAGGTCGAAAAAAAATGGATCGCGAAATAAAGATAGATGGCACTGCAGCATGATTTGCGTAGTATAAATAATTTAGTGTATTATATGTGTGTGTGTATGTATATGGGACAGACATACAGTCTATGGTTGCAGGCTGGCAGCACCATCTGCTGATCAAGCAGGGTAAAACTAAATGAAAAAAAAATTTATACCCGGGGAACGGTGCGGTACGTCATCACGTCAAGACAGCGCATGTTGCAACAACAACACTGCAGTCTACAGCGAGCTAACAAATATTAGCATCAGTACCAACTGCCTTGCCCCCAAACAGCCGATTATGGAGTCAAATGTATATCTATACCGTAAAACTTCAAATAATAGCCCGGGCTTTTATTTTCCCAAATCGTCGAGCTGCACCGGCTTGTATTTGAGACAGGTGTCTATATGAGACCGGCCTTTATAATTTAGTGTTGAGATGTTGTTCATTGAGTCTAAGTAAGCCTAGAGTCTCTAATCTCTAAAAATCTCCAAATGCTCCACGTGAAACTGCGGTCTTCCGACCTTTTACTATCGTGTCAATTGATTTTGATTAATATGCGCGGGGAGAGAGAGCAAGACAGCGCTCGTGTTGTTTGAAGACGTGAGAGTGCGCGTGCGCGGCCGGGCGCTCTCTCTCTCTCTCTGCTCGTTATGCGCCCTGTCAAGCGCAGCAGTCATTCTATTCATCACTCACCGATCAAAATAGGCTTTGGCGGGACACACATTTGCTTTGGCCGCCGCCAAAAAGCGGACGATCTGACGGGTTTTAGAAGGTTAAATACAACCCAAAACTAAAAAACAGACCCGGCCTCTATTTGAGACCGGCCTTTATTTACCCAAACCTGCAGCCACACCAGGCGTGTAAAAGAGACAGGTGTCTATTTGGGACTCGGCTATTATTTGAAGTTTTACGGTATGCTACATCAATGCCCAGTGAGCGTGTCTTTTCCACAGCAGGAGACATTGTGTCAGCTCAAAGACCACTGATTACACCAGAACATGTTGATATGTTAGTTTTTTTGAAGAAGAACCAGTCCTGAGATAACTTAACCTAGGATTAGAGCAGCACTAAGAGTGTTCTTGTTTGTGTTTGGCCAGTTAGGCCTTGTGTTTCCCTGTGTGCAGCTGAAACAAAAATAAATAAGTTGTTGTTATTTTCTCAAGTAATATTTTTTTCTTTTTTTTTTTCTTTTTTGATATCGTATCGTGACGTATCGTATCGTGACCCTGGCATATCGAGGTGCATCGTATCGTGAGTTTAAGTGTATCGTCCCATCCCTAATAAGTTACGGACTGCAGCAGCTGATACAACGGCGTTCTGTTGCTCAAGCGTCCACTCGCACAAATGCGACCACATAACATTTTAACTCGCACATTCTCAAAAAATGGTCGCATATGCGACCAATTTGGTCACAGTCTGGAACCCTGTGTAGTGTGTGTTTTTTGTATTTTTCAGAGTATAAATGGACACAAACTGCTAGCTTACTCAAACCATACAAATGAGTCAGCTTTTCAAACAAAGGAACTTTCCCGCTTGAGAATTGCACCTTTCTCATTGATCAAGCCAAAACTCAAAGGTGTGACCTCGGTGGAACTTAAAAGCCAACACAAATTGTTATTTCCTATTCTTTCTTTTGGTAGTACATTACATTACTTTTTCCCCTGAATATAGCAAGTACTGAAACATACCATACCAAAAACACCACTCTTAAACTACTGGTTTGATACAAACTGTATAAAACCAGTTTGAACTGGCAACTTTGCCGTACTGGTTGTTCTTTAGTAATCATTCCTAGTTTTGGTTGCTCTAGAAATTTCTTCTGAAGCAAATACTGAACTGTTTTTAATTGTAGACAGCTGCACTTCAGCTGCATGAACAAAACCTGATAATTATGTTAATAACATTACTACTGCTAAGTTTGCATTTCATGTTGACATTGAATTTACATTATCTTATGCTGCTAAAAATTATAAACATTGAGGAGTAAGTTTGCATAAAAATTACACCAGTGCATAAAGTTTCTTATCAAAGATTATTTGCCATTGCAGCCACTTATTTGTGTTGAGGACAAACACTGGGCTATCTTGGTCCACACTCTCTCACACACAATCTTAACCATGTTTTTCTATTCATTGTTTTTTAATGTTGTCCCTGTACAGGGTTAGAGACATATAACATGCCATTTTATTACGGTCTCAGACTTTTAGACCCTATTGTTACAGAAAATTAGTTTGTAAGAAGCAAAAAAATAAATAATAATAACTTATCTGTCATTCAAAAATCTGTCAATACAGCAGCACTCACAATAACTTCTCCAGTTTACACTGTGGGTCCTTCAATAGATCAGAGAGTAACTTCCCTCCTGAGTCCCTTGGTTTATTCCAGCTCAGATCCAGTTCTCTCAGTTGTGAGGGATTTGATCTCAGAGCTGTAATCAGAGCAACACAACCTTCTTCTCCAATACTGCAGTTAGACAGCCTGTAGAGAATATATATATTAACAGCAATTCAGCTGAACTTCTGAACAATTCTCAAAGGTAGTCTGCACACGTAGTAAAATACTTCGAAGAGATCAACACAAACAAAAGGAGCTGGAATAAATTATGTGAATTGTAAGTGTTTGACTGATGTATTGACATTAAAAACAAATAAACTATTAGTGGTTGTTACAAATATGTAAGCTATATATTCACAAAAAGAGAAGGTGTAGAGCAGAGGTGCCCAATCCTATACCTAAAGGATTACTATTCTGCAGTCTTTAGTGATGTTAGAGTGTTTACAGGCAGGTGTGTTTCATATTACATTAAAAAAAAATTGAGTAACGTCTTACTTTAGAGTCTGCAGTTTACATTGAGGATTCTTCAGTCCATCAGAGAGTAGCTTCAGTCCTGAATCTTGCAGGTTGTTGTAATTCAGGTTCAGCTCTCTCAGACTTGAAGAGTTTGAGCTGAGAACTGAGGCCAGTGTTGAACAGCTCTTCTTTGTCAGATTACATCTCTGTAGACTTTAAGAGAAGTGATCAACATAACCATGTAACTACAGACACCGAATTACTTATGTTCAAAAGATACAGTATCTCATTATTTTTCAGCCTTTCGACAAAACTCAATACATATAAAAAATGTTATGTATTTGCTTTCAAATAAGTTAAAACAATTTTTATATGAAGAAACCTTCCTGTAAAGCTACAGTACAGTGAAAATGTTATGCTCTTCTGTAAAAATGCTATAAAATGAGGATGCTTTCAAAAATAATGTCATAAATGGGTTTTATTTATCAAATAACTTATATTAACTAAATCAAATCAATATTTGGTGAGAACACCCTTTGCCCTAGGTACACTCAAGCAGCCTTTGTCCTAGGTACACTTGCTCATAGTTTCTTCAAGTTTAGGTTTCTAAGGTAGGTTTCTTCAAGTTTCTTAGAGATGTTGCCACAGTTCTTCTGGATTTATTTTTTTTCTGTATTTTTCTGTTTCTTCGATGATGGTGTGGAGCCATGTGGAGCATACCGGCTGTTGTCAGACTCATTCAAAAACCTCACTCGATTATTACAATTAATGGCAAATGGATTGTTTGGATATGTATACTGATATTTCCTACTGGCACACTACTGCAAAATATATAAATAACTGGCTTAAAACCATTTTTTCGGTGAAAATACTAACATGCCTAAGACTTTTGCACAGTACTGTATATATTGCAATGTGGTATATTTCCCAATGCAACATTTTCAGAGGATTAAAGCAATAAATAAACTATGATGTATGATGTTTTGATTAGAAAAATGCTCACTCAGATTTTCTAGAAACTTTGATGACTGGCAGCAGCATCAAAAGACCTTCTTCAGATGGTTTATATTTACTCAGTTGAAACTCATCAAGCTCCTCTTTTGAGTTCAGCAACACAAAAACCAGAGCTGACCACTGAGCAGGAGAAAGACTGATTTTAGGGAAATGAATGACGTCCATCCTGCTCAAAAAATTTTGAACTTCCTGAACTAGTGAATGATCATCCAGTTCATTCAAACAGTGGAACAGATTGATGGACTTCTCGGGGGAGGGATTATCCTTGATCTTCATCTTAATGTACTCTACTATTTCCTGTTTGCTGTCAGATCTGCTTTCTGTCTGTGTCAGGATGTCTCGTAAGATAGTCTGATTGGATTCCAGTGAGAGACCCAGAAGGAAGCGGAGGTAAAGGTCCCAGTGTCCATTTTCACTCTGTAAAGCCTTGTCTACTTCCCTTTTCAGTAAATCTGTCATGCTACTTTTTGTTTCTTTTTCTGAAAGAAACGTGAATAAAGCAGCAATGAACTCCTGAACGCTCAGATGAACAAAGCTGTACACCTTCCCCAGGTACAGTCCTAACTCCTCTCTGAAGATCTGGGTACAGACTCCTGAGTACACTGATGCTTCTCTGACATCAATACCAAACTCTTTCAGATCTTCCTCATAAAAGATCAGGTTCCCCTTTTGCAACTGTTGAAAAGCTAGTTTTCCCAGTGAGAAGATGGTCCTCTTGGCCTGCTGAAGATCTACTTTATATTTCCCATCATACTTCTGGGTCTTCAGTTTGGTCAGATAGATCAGGAAGTGAGCGAACATTTGAGTGAGAGTCTTTGGGATCTCTGCACTCTCTTTTTCACTCAACATCTTCTCTAGAACAGAGGCTGAGATCCAGCAGAACACTGGGATGTGACACATGATGTGGAGGCTCCTTGATGATTTGATGTGTGTGATGATTCTATTGGCCAGATTCTGATCACCTATTCTCTTGCTGAAATACTCGTCCTTCTGAGGGTCATTGAAACCTCGTACCTCTGTGACCTGGTCGACACACTCAGGGGGGATCTGACCGGCTGCTGCTGGTCGAGAGGTGATCCAGAGGAGAGCAGAAGGAAGCAGATTGCCCTTGATGAGGTTGGTCAGCAGCACATCAACTGAGGCTGATTCTGTTTCATCAAACAAGCTATCATTGTTCTGGAAATCTAGAGGAAGTCGACACTCATCCAGTCCATCAAATATGAACAGGACTTTGAGGTCATTAAAGTCTGTTGCTCTCAGTTCGTTTGTATCCATAAAAAAGTATTGAAGAAGTTTCATCAGACTTATATTCTTTTTATTTGTTAAATTGAGTTCTCTGAAAGGAATGGGAAATATGACATGAACATCCTGATTGTCTTTTTCTTCCGCCCAATCCAGAATGAACTTCTGCACAGAGACTGTTTTTCCAATTCCAGCAACTCCTTTAGTCAGTACAGTTCTGATGGGTTTGTCTCTTTCAGGTGAGGCTTTAAAGATGTCATTGCATTTGATTGGCGTTTCATGTGTCACTGGTGTCCATGATGTTGCCTCAATCAGTTTCACCTCATGTTGATTATTGACCTCTCCTCCCCCTCCCACTGTGATGTACAGCTCTGTGTAGATCTCATGTAGAGGTATTGAGTTTCCTTGGTTTGATATTCCATTATTAATTATATGGAAATTTTCCTTTACTGTAGATTTGTGTTGTACCAGACAGAAAGGGGAATGTTCTGGTAAACAGAGAAAGAAAAATGGATATTCACAAGCCATATATAAATAACTTTGCAATTTATTATTTTTCTGATACAATAAACATAAATAGTAACCACAAATGTACCTTGTCCCCATTCACTTTCATTTTAGGGGAAAAAGCAGTTTGGGCATTCTGGTAGATTACTCCTTTTGTATATCACACAAGCCAGTAATACAGATTTTTAACATGAGAATAAATATTTATATTCCTATAAAGCTCTTACTGGTCTGAAGTGTGTTAGTGATGTCTGTATGATTCCAGTTCGTCGGGACCTGCAGTGTCTTCCGAAGCCCCTGTCTGACTCTGCTCTGCTCTTCATCATCCACTTCCTTTCTTTCAGAGAATTCTGGGTTATCAGATCTCTGACCTTCATCCTCCTCCTCCTCATCCTCCTCCTCCTTTCTTTCAGAGAATTCTGGGTTATCTGGGCTTAGCAGTCTTGTGGACCTCTTCAGCTTTTTTCATGAACGAGATGATGATTTTCACAAATTAGGCATTTTTCCTTGATGTCACCTGATATCTAGTATGTCTACACAGATACAAAAATACACTGTGTGCCTAATTTTGTTTTCTTAAAAAATTGGGTTGGAAAAAAAGGAAATTTGTCTTTTGCAGGGGAATTACAATAAATTTACTATAACTTGTGTTCCTAATTAGATCATCTATTTTTCAGCACTACAAATTAGAAATATTAAACTAGTTTGTTTCAACAAAAAACACACAAAAAAAAACATAATTTAACAACAAAAAAAGTGTATTAGTCTAGGACTATTTTAAACAATGACAGAGAAAGCAGTTATTTTGTTCTGTTTTAAAACGCCATTTGAGTCTAGGACTAGGCTTATTCTCTGTCCGGAAACCATCCCTATCAGGAGACAAGTGGTGGATCACAGTTCCAATAACTAAGAGCACTAAAGAGGCATTTCTACTGACTCTAAAAAACACCAGGAAAAAGATGCCTAGTGTCCCATATCACCTGTATGAACAGGCCATAGTCCTGCTGCAGGAGGCAGGAGTACTGCAGATGTGGACAGAGCAATAAACTGTGATGTCTGTAATGTAAGATGCCTAAGACAGTGCTACAGGGAGACAGGAAGGACAGCTGATTGTCCTTGCAATGCCAAACCACTTGTAAGCATGCAGCCCCCAAACTAACAAACTAACTAACTTAAATAACACTAATTGTACCAAAAAGGCCCACTTTGGATTAATTTGGATTAATTCATAAAATGAAGATATTAACCTTAAAAACCAATGATATGAAATACCACCCATAGTCGTGTCTCGGAAGGGATGTCATTTTTAGTTGGAAAATATGGTAAAACACATACCTTAAAAGAGTCCAACCGCCTTCCTGTGGAAGACTTTGATTCCTCCTGATTCATACTGTGGTTGTGGGTAGATTTCTTGTAAATATTTAATCAGGCATGTAATTCACAAATTGAGTATTTGTCATCTTAAATCTTCACATTAATGTTCAGACTCCTCCAGCTGTAAACCATGAGTCTGTCCTCACCTCACATCAGCAGAAGAGTCGCCTGAACTGAAGCCGTATGGTACATCCATTGACTGCACACTCTTCAAGGTCTCACCCCGGGGTTTCGTAGATTCACTTTGAATAAGACTGAAAAAAAAAAACAATTAATTCCTAATGCTGTTTAAATTTTTCATTATTTATTTCTTGTGAAGAACTCGGAGGAAGATATTTTGAAGAAGGTTTCAACATGTTTTGACCAAGCAATGATACAACAGTGAACCCCCCTGACTTTCATTGTGATGACATGAAGTGGTGGATTTCTTATCATCCTCATTTACAGCTAATAATTAATTTCCTAATAATTAATATATGGTACAAGTAACCAGTATGCTATATACTGGGGGTTGGTGTCTGGCACGCATCAAAATTGCAATAACCCTTATTATGCATTTAATCTGGCTCCCATAGACTATGCATTTATAATTATATATTATTTCAAGATCATGTATGCAATCAATGTATCCATTGCATAACTGGCCAGTCCTGTGACTGGGACTGTATATGCTATTATTTGAAAACTCATGATTTGAGACCCAAGTCAAAGAGGTAAAACAGTTTGAATAATACCTTTTTGAACTTTGCTGTAATTCCACTATAATCAACACAATCTCACTCCCAACTCGTCACGTATGCATTTTGAATTTGAAATCATACCCCAAAACATACATCACATAATTTGATCATGACAATAACATTATCATGCCCATTCCTTCTGTGTAAAAAGGAAATTTGCATTGTTGCTAATACTGTAACTCTGCATATGCATGCTCGAATTAAAATCCTTGCCATCAAACTTCTTCCCTTGAAATCTTGAATCAAGCACTACATGAAATTTGCTGTCTGTCTGATTCGCATAAAACTGGGTATGCACATTCTCGAGATATTCCAGATAAAAATGTATCAAAAGACTATTGATTAATTTAATCGTTATGGAGATACAGGTCAATCTAGTTCTGGGTGCTAAAGGTGCCAGGTGCTAAACATTTGTCTTTCTGAAGGGGTGCATGATGATTCTGTATGGTATTGAAGGGTCCACTCCAGTGCGTAGCATCCCAATTCCCTGTTTCTTTGACATGGTTATGACTAGGGCTGCAACTAACGATTATTTTGATAATCGATTAATCGGACGATTATTTTTTCGATTAATCGATTAATCGGATACAATTTTCAATTCGATTTTTTTGTTTATTATGACTAAATAAAACCCGGTTACACTTTATTTTAAGGTGTCCTTGTTACAGTGTAATTATATATTTAAGTACAGAGTAATATTAAGTAACTACATGTACTTACTATAGGAATAGGGTAGGATTTGGTTGAGGGTTAGTTGCATGTAATTATGCATAATTTACTGTTATTACTACAGTAAGTACATGTAACAAATGTAACAAGGACACCGTAAAATAAAGTGTTACCTAAAACCCTAAATTAGGGTATTTATGTGTAAAAGTGTACTTTAAAAAGTGCAAAAGCCACACATTGAGTTTTACAAATATCAATATTTGCATTGTTTTTAATGATAATTGCTGATGGCAAGTTGACAACCATGATTAATGTAAAAAAAAAAAACATTTATATCCAACATATTGTTTTAACACAATTTTTGTTAAAACAAATTTACAGACATGTTGTTCAGATGTGAAGATATATACTAAAAACATCTAAAATATATAATTCATTTAATTTTTATTTAAAAATAATTGAATTATAAGGATAATTTGTAAAAAATAAATATAGAAAGACTGAAAACAAGCGTGTGAACATAGAGCCGCAGTAGATCGCGTTTGAAAAACAATTAAAACTTAATAGTAGACAAATGCTATATAAAGAGAGCGGAATGGAGGTACGCAGCAAGCTAACAGGCTTGATTAAAAAGACGCATTGCAAAATGATGCATTAGTGCACAAACATTCGCTGAAAACCACTGAGTAGGCTACAGTGACTAAAAAACAATATTTTACTGTTGCTGTTATTAACTGCCTTTATATTTAGTGCTTCGCTTTGTAAAGACCGTTTTAATTTAATATTTCTGCGGTAGCACTATTTTAATCCATCACTTATGTTGCGAGCAAACTGATTGCACAACCTGATGCTCGAGACGCAAAATACAGACATCCCAAGTCTCCCGGAAGTTCTGGAAGTCACCCGCATATTGATATGCTCCCTGATGCTCGCAAATTAGTTCAAACTCCCGGGATTTGAGCGCGCATGCGAGACAGAAGAGACTGTGCTCCAAACCGTGTAGCGCGAGCGCGGGGCAGAGCAACGGAGGGAGAGAGACCTTGCGTGCGTGTGTGTGCGTGTGTGCCTCATGAAGCGCGTGTAAGACAGAGAGCATCCTGATTGGCCCGTTTCAACCAATCACCAGTAAACGCTCCCCGTGACGTAAGCAGACCAACTAATCGATAATGACATTCGTTGACAACGATTTTCATAATCGATTATTATCGATTAGTTGTTGCAGCCCTAGTTACATAGCTGCCAACTCTCACGCATTGGCCGTGAGACACCCGCATTTGATTGGTTTCACACGCTCACACGCCACACTCCCGATTTCTCACGCTGAAGTGTCAACCCGGGCGGTCAAATGCCTGGAAGATGAGTTTATCTATATATCTACCTGTTGAGCCACTCGTGATCGACTAGTTATACCGCAAATTCGTTAAAAATCTCCCGTTATCTAGAGCGAGCGTGCATGCGAGACAGAGATTGTGCTCCAAACCGCGTAGAGCGAGCGAGAGACCTTGCGCGAGCTCCCGAGAGAGAGACCTCCCGCGTAGAGCGAGCGAGAGACCCCCCCGCGTAGAGCGAGCGAGAGACCCCCCCCCCGTCAACAAATCTCACGCCGAGCAAAACTCAAAAGTTGGCAGGTATGTAGTTATGACTGTGACCTTTTCCCATGTAACGCGTCAGCCATGGTCCCACACCGGCTAAAACCTTTTTTTTCAGGATCTGAGTGGACGGCCCTCGATGTTTTAATGGTGCCAAGGGATCAAGATGATTCAATGTTCACACTGTTGGGGAAGATCCCCCCAAAAAACATAAAATGTCATACTAATTGTAGTAAATGAACACTTTGACCAAATACAATTTTTAAATTAAAAAAAAGTCCAATTGCCTTCTTGTGGAAGACTTTGATTCCTCCTGATTCATACTGTGGTTGTGGGAAGATTTCTTGTAAACATTTAATCAGGCATGTAATTCACACATTGAGTATTTGTCATCTTAAATCTTCACATTAATGTTCAGACTCCTCCAGCTGTAAACCATGAGTCTGTCCTCACCTCACATCAGCAGAAGAGTCGCCTGAACTGAAGTCGAATAGTTCATCCATTGACTGCACACTCTTCAAGGTCTCACCCCGGGGTTTCGTAGATTCACTTTGAATAAGACTGAAAAACAACAACAATGAATGGAAGAAGGTTTCAACATGTTTTGACCAAGCAATGATACAACAGTGAACCCCCCTGACTTTCATTGTGATGAGGAAGTGGTGGATTTCTTATCATCCTCATTTACAGCTAAGAATTAATTTATAAATAATTAATATACTGTACAGGTAACCAAGTATGCTATATGAGGGTTGACGGGTTACAACGGTTTTTTTTCAGGATCTGAGTGGACGGCCCTTAATGTTTTAATGGTGCCAAAGGATCAAGATGATTCAATGTTCACACTTTTGGGGAAGATCCCCCCAACAAACTATTAGTAGTAAATGAACACTTTGACCAAAGACACTTTTTAAATAAAAAATCGGATTACAAGAATCAAGCGGAATCTACTTTTGGACTAGATCGTGTGTCTGATTTATCGAAGATATTGAATTTTTTTTTCAAAAGTTACAATTGTTCACTTTTGCATTAGGGTGTCTGATGCATCTATATTTTTCTAGTTATGTTAGGCTCTAAAATATTTTAGGGAGTAGAAATCGAATTGTCTGAAATTCAAAAACTGAAAATGTGCTGTTAATTCATTGGTCAAAAAGTGTGAACCCTTTATTATTTAAATTAATTATGGATCTTTTAATTAATTTAATACGGTATATTGCCACTCCTGTAAAAAATAAATAAGCTGGTATATTTAAGAAATATTTGCACATGGGGTGCCTTCAAATTTTGTCATGAAGTCACAAAGTTTCAAAACCAACATGCTTGAGGAACTGAATTTTAAGCAAGGAAATGCATTTTAAGCAAGAGGAAAGCAAGATTCTGGAATTCTTGTGGCAGTCGGACCTGTTCCTCCAGCAGTAGATGACTCATGAGACTCTCCCTACCTCACATGAGCAGAAGTGTTTCCTGAACTGATGTTTATTGGGTCATCCATTAACTGATGGCTCTTTATGGACACACGGCAGAGTTTAGGAGATTCCCTTTGACTAAAACTAAACAGCAATTCGTCATTGTTTTTTTTATTATTATTAATCTGTTTCAAATAACTAAATTACAAATAAATATCAAATGCTGAAATTGGCCACTGCACAGTGAAATGGACCTAACCATTGACTCTGACTCACCATTCATTTGTCTTCGCACCAGTTTCTCCAGAGAGACTCTTTCTGGAAGCCATGGCACCATTTAAAATGTTGATTATATATCTGAAAATAAACTAAGCACACACATATTAGCAATTCAGATACATCAAAACATCAAAAGTCTCTGTATTTGTTATAGTGGCTGTATGTTCTGCCTGCAGTTACTGTGCTGATCAATCCAAAGGGATTTGCGATGTAGCTGTTAGTTTTGAATGTTAATGTTCTCTTGTGAGGTTTACCATTTGTTTTTGTTTTCATTTTTCAAGTGTTGTTATTTGCTCAGTACTTACCTGTTGAAACTTGCTGACATCCAGTTCCTCATTCACATGAATATTACATTACAGTAGTATATATTACATACTATAATAAGACTTACAAACGTGTTACAAACAACCCTTAATTCTCCATGATTTTGTTTTAGTTTATTGTGTCAATGTGTAAAGCACAAGCTGTGATACTCACTGTATTTGTCTTTCCTTGTGTAATTCCCCTCTTCTTACCAAGTGCTTCCTTGATTCTTTTGTTTTACAGTTTTACTTACACCTATGAAGGAGGAGTCTGTAGGCCAGGGGTGTTGAATTAAATTTCCAAGAGGTCCAGTCTCTGTATTTCCTTCCCAGCGGAGGTCCAGATAATACTGTTTTGGAATAGTTATACATTTCCATGTGGACAGCAGTAGTTCTTTGTAAAAGAAAACAGTTGAAATAGTCATCAAGGATAAGGATACTGGAAACAAACAAGTGGTGTCTGAGATTTTTTATCCATTCAAAAATGAAATTGCTTAACTTGTTTAGCCAAATTGGATTTGAATATTAAATTCTCCAAACTGATCAGATGTTTAATCAGACTTTTAGTCTACTGTTTTTACAGTCCGATACCTTGCACATATTACACATAAGGCTTAGGAAAGGATCTGGATCTAGATGGATATATTAAAGTGTCCCTATTATGGAATTTTGAAAATGACATTTCATGTAGTGTGTAACATAGCTCTTAGTTAACGAAAACATACTGCAAAGTTTAAAAAAATAAATAAAAATATTCTCAAATTCACACATGTAAAAATAAAAAGTGCCTGTCCCTGTTCACTTGGCGCCTGTCAATGACGTAATATCCGTGTTATTGCCTTAGTAACCATGGCAACAGACGTGGACAACTGCATAGTGCGTAACATCTAGCGACATGCTGTTGTTGTTTGGTTCAAACATTATGGACCATGGCAAGCAGACTTTGGGACAAAAGGAAAGAACTAAAACGAAGATCAATATCAGCGTGGCGTTTTCGAGATGCCGAGAGCTCCACGTCCGCGACAAACTTCGAATTGACAGAGCTTCACGAGTCACGACTTCTTGTTTGAAGTTGTCAAAGCAGGGGTTTACTCTTTGTATATTTACATTTATGATAAAACTTTACAATAAATAAAAGGAGCTTAATACAAAATCCTACTTTGATTAGATTCTTGTCATTAATACTGAACAAGGTTTCAAAGAAACAAGGATTTCCTCTTATGTAGAATATTACAGTTATTCCAAAGAACAAAAATTGTGTGGCGAGAAATTATGTTTGTCCCCAAGCCAGAAGCATTTGCTGATGATAACTGGAGTTTTATAGGAAGCTAATAGAATAATTGCACATTAAAAGGAAATGTTTACCTCCTAACTGAGAAAACGTTTTTGTTCAAACATTATGGACCATGGCAAGCAGACTTTGAGACAAAAAAAACGAAGATCAACATCTTTCGAGATGCCGAGAGCTCCATGTTCGCGACTAACTTCGACTTGACAGAGACGCAAGTGTTCCATGTAGTTTATTAGACAGGTGAGCAAATGTACATACAACTAATCAATGTTATTTAGTTCAATATGATGAAATGTTAGAATATGATCTGTATGTTATTCTAATGTTGATCTAGCTTACTGCTAGTCTCATATAGCCAACTAACAACCTAACTAACAACAATCAACACACTCAAATGCCGTTTAGTGTGATAGTGTAACTGTTAGAGCAAGTGAAACAGCGCTGTGTTACCTCAAGTTTAATTCGACTAATAAACTGACCTGTGAGTAACTTATCAATTCAGCACTTGCGGGTAGTTCGGTAGAATGAAATGTCCTTATTCCTTTATATCCGCGCTTCGCGTGTGGCGCTGGTATACGTCTCTCATTAGCAATCGCGCCCTGCTTCACACCACAGTCATGTTAAAAACATCACTGTATTCACTCATCCATAAAAGATCCATCAGCTTGACGACAAGATCCATAATTCCACTTAAAGGGTTAGTTCGCCCATTTAAGACATGAAGTTGTATGCAATCCTTACCAGCACTATATGACTTGCAAGGATGCGTAAAGGTTGATTCTGTTTTGGCTTAATTTGCCCTTTATTTTAGTTGGTGGAGCAGAGATGGACAAAGTGACTGGCAATATTGTGGTAATTTACACTCACCTAAAGGATTATTAGGAACACCATACTAATGCTGTGTTTGACCCCCTTTCGCCTTCAGAACTGCCTTAATTCTACGTGGCATTGATTCAACAAGGTGCTGAAAGCATTCATTAGAAATGTTGGCCCATATTGATAGGACAGCATCTTGCAGTTGATGGAGATTTGTGGGATGCACATCCAGGGCACGAAGCTCCCGTTCCACCACATCCCAAAGATGCTCTATTGGGTTGAGATCTGGTGACTGTGGGGGCCATTTTAGTACAGTGAACTCATTGTCATGTTCAAGAAACCAATTTGAAATGATTCGAGCTTTGTGACATGGTGCATTATCCTGCTGGAAGTAGCCATCAGAGGATGGGTACATGGTGGCCATAAAGGGATGGACATGGTCAGAAACAATGCTCAGGTAGGCCGTGGCATTTAAACGATGCCCAATTGGCACTAAGGGGCCTAAAGTGTGCCAAGAAAACATCCCCCACACCATTACACCACCACCACCAGCCTGCACAGTGGTAACAAGGCATGATGGATTCATGTTCTCATTCTGTTTACGCCAAATTCGGACTCAAACCATCTAAATGTCTCAACAGAAATCGAGACTCATCAGACCAGGAAACATTTTTCCAGTCTTCAACTGTCCAATGTTGGTGAGCTCTTGCAAATTGTAGCCTCTTTTTCCTATTTGTAGTGGAGATGAGTGGTACCCGGTGGGGTCTTCTGCTGTTGTAGCCCATCCGCCTCAAGGTTGTGCGTGTTGTGGTTCACAAATGCTTTGCTGCATACCTCGGTTGTAACGAGTGGTTATTTCAGTCACTGTTGCCCTTCTATCAGCTTGAAACAGTCGGCCCATTCTCCTCTGACCTCTAGCATCAACAAGGCATTTTCGCCCACAGGACTGCCGCATACTGGATGTTTTTCCCTTTTCACACCATTCTTTGTAAACCCTAGAAATGGTTGTGCGTGAAAATCCCAGTAACTGAGCAGATTGTGAAATACTCAGACCGGCCCGTCTGGCACCAACAACCATGCCACGCTCAAAATAGCTTAAATCACCTTTCTTTCCCATTCTGACATTCAGTTTGGAGTTCAGGAGATTGTCTTGACCAGGACCACACCCCTAAATGCATTGAAGCAACTGCCATGTGATTGGTTGATTAGATGATTGCATTAATGAGAAATTGAACAGGTGTTCCTAATAATCCTTTAGGTTGCGTGTATATGACGATAGTGTACATAAAAATATAGTTACTCAACAGTAACGTCATATCACACACACTCGTTCTGAACAAAAGTACCAGTATCTATCTAATAAAATGTTGGTCATGCAGTTCTCAACTGAATAAGTGTATCATTAGAGAGAGCATAACTGACAGAAGATACACAAAGTTCAACTTTAAGAAACATTTTATTGATCATCATTGGTGACATTTTCACACAGTTATGGTTCATAGAACCAACAAAATATCAGTTTGGTTTCAATTTTTTGTTCCAGGACTTTAATGGTGGTGATGTAAAATGTTAAATGACATTAGCGTACTTTAATGAATAGATCAGAGGTCAAAATAAACATTCTATCCACAGCAGGACAGCAGGGCATTTACTGGGATGAACATGTGACATTCAATTAACCAAAAACAAGACAATCAGAAAAAAGATAACCAAGGACAAATCAATTCCACAATTTAAAACTTCCCATAAACCTGATAATCCCAGCAGAGTTTGCTGTCCAAAGTCATTCAGTAAACATTCAGTTTAGACAAAGCACATGCCATCTTCTGGAGAAGAATATGTATTCACTGTAAAAAAATAAAAAATAAAAAAAAAAACTCAGATGTTTCTCTAAAAATGCCTTTGGAGAAATAGTGACAATATATGGATGGCAGCTCGGATCATTTTGTGAATTTGAGAAATATTTGAGTTCATATTGAAATCTCTGACTTTTGACTACAGACTTTGGTATCTTGGCAAATATAACTTGAGATCTTTTCTCAAACTCTAGAGGAGAAATGTAAAATAAGTGTGTATCTAAAGGGCATTTCTGATCCTTAAAAATATATTGCAAATCATTACCTAGAACTACTTTCACTTTTCACACAGATGAAGAGACCAATCATCCTGCTCTTGAGAAAAGATCAAACTTAAACGAAACATTCGTCGTACAGGACAAATAATCTGATTTAACTGCACACAGAAATACAAGTTAAGTTAGTACCAACTACACAGCTAAAACAATCATTACAATTAGTCAAATCAGGTCAATATTTAACATATGCTCATATTATGCTCATTCTGATCACATATGCAGTACTCATCTACGAAAGTCAAATAATGACCCTTAAATAAATGATTAAATTAAAATTCTCACTCAACAGTCTGTGACCTTGATGATGTTGCACTTGTGAAAGATTTCAAGTAAAAATCATGCATTAAACACCAACATTTTTTTCTCTCTTCCATGCACTGAATGAAGTTTTTTGATCGTGAGAATAATGTTTCAATTACTACCGTCTACAGGAAATGTCTTTACAGTTTTTAGACAATTGTAACCGTTAGTTTTCCAAAGATTTTTGGAAGACATGATGGATCTTAATACACTAACAGAGAATGTTTAGTGTATATAAATGCTACACATTTCACTGAAAGCTGAAGCACAGACACACTGGAACCATCACAGGTTGATACAGAAACAGAAAGATAAAAATTAAGCGTCACATTTGAAACTAACCGGACACTTGCTGATAAATCAATCAAGATGTTTGAAGACAGAAGGATGTTGATAGGACATACAGGAGCCACGTTCATCCAGCTGTTTCCTATAAACCCACAAGATTTATCAGCCTCATAATACTGATTTAACATGAAAAAAGCCTCGTGACAGTCCTAAACATTACAACACACAACTTCAAGGAGTCAAAAAGCTGTAGTTGTAAAGCAAATAACGTACAGGACATCAAACAGAAACACGTTTCACGTCATCCTTATGTCACAGCTCCTAGTCAAACATTTTAAAAGGGGGTTAGCTCAACAATAAAAAATATGAAATCATTTCCATTATTTTTATATAAAACAAAAA